CCACCTGCTCACCCCTCCCATCTTGCTGCCCACTAGATGTAATATGAGAAGAAAATAAATCTCTATGTCTGCACCCCTAAGATTTAGGGGTTTATATGTTACAGCAACTAGAATTACCTTAATACATATAGTGACTTACTCCCATATAGATTCCCAACTGCAGATTGTATCTTGCCCTCCAAAACCTTTTTTTTTTGGTGCTGAGGATTGAGCCCAGGGTCTTGTGCATGCAAGACAAGCACCCTACCAACTGAGCTACCCCAGCCCCAAACCTAACTTTGACAGTAAAGGTTCAAGATGATATGTATTGCATGGTTGGTGGCTGCTAATCATGTTTCTCAACTCTAGTCTTGATAAAGAGAAAGATCTCACTTCTGAGATTTTCCCATTACAAAATCTTCCATATCTATACCACCTTCCGGGAAGTTGAAAGAAAGATTCCATATCTTTTGTTTCCTGCTGTGAGAGAATGAAATTATCCCTAGAAACTATCTGTGCACAGGAAATCATATCTGATGAGGCTCCTGGTTTGGTCCTTGTGATGGACTGAGTTGTGTCCCCCCAAAATTCAAGTGGAAGTCCTAACCCCTACTACCTCATACTACCTCAGACTTTGATTTAAAAAAAAAATGCTGCAGCATGGTAAAAAATAAAAATAAAAATCTTATCCTGAGCCTTAGAGATTTCCTGACAAAAGAGTGCTTTGTTTGCAGACGTCACACCAGGAACTGAATCAGCCAGAGGGAAACATCCTGAATCTAATACTATCATGCAAGGTTTGAGAATACTAGAGTGACCAGTTTTGCCTCTACCTGGACATTCCAAGACACACAGAAAATTTACATCCACCCCCATTTATGTCAGTTACCAATGCTGGCCTTGGTAAGAATCCAAGTCCACTTTTCTTTGGCAAAGCACTGCTTCCATCTGGCTGAGCCTGTTTCCAGATTTGCAAATCTATTCTGCAATGGATTTTGCTTTATTTTAATCTCATTTATGATTTCTTGGTTTACAATTTCTAGAGATAGAGCCTTTGCAGAGGCAATTAGGTAAAACGAGGTCATACATGTGGACTCTAATCCAATATGACTGGTGTCCTAAAAGAAGGTGTGATCAGGACAGATGTGCACAGAGAGAAGACCATGATGTAAACACAAAGATGGCCATCTGTAAGCTAAGCAAAGACTTCAGAAGAAAACAACCCTGCCTATATCTTGATCTCAGACTTCTAACCTCTAGGATTTTGAGAAAATAAATTTCTGTTATTTAAGTTACTCAGTCTGTGTTACTTTATTATGGTGACCATAGCAAACTAATATAGTGCTGAAGGTAGTGGCCAGGACATTGAGGACAACCTGAAATGGTGCTGTGGGGCATTTTGTATTAACATGAATTACCATCAGAAGTTTTTTCCTTTGGGGCCTGGGATTGTGGCTCAGTGGTAGAGTGCTCACCTAGCACGGGTGGGACCCGGGTTCGATCCTCAGCACCACATAAAAATAAAGG